CTCCAACCACCACTAGCATCCCCCATTGCTGCCGGCGGCATCTCCATCATCGCCTCAGATCTGAGATCAACCAAACCCCCTATTTCTCTCTGTTTTCTTTATATCTAACATGTGACAAAAATGATCAAAATCGTCTAAATTGTGACGATCACGGAGAGAGAGAGAGAGAGAGAGAGAGAGAGAGAGAGAGAGAGAGAGAGAGAAGGGAACGTATCTTCAGTTTCTGAGCATTCAACATGCATGTCGATTGAGGCATGTGTGTGTGTGCGCACGTGAGAGAGAGAGAGAGAGAAAGAGAGAGAGATAAGAGGGTTTTAGTTAAAAAATTAGCAAGAACTCAAGATACGGTTCAGTGTGTGTGTCATGGCGATTTACGGTCTCCGACTTGTTAGTATTTTGTTCTGATCAATTTTCTCTGAGTAATTTTATTTGCCCTGTTTAATTTTCCTTGTGTTGTTCAATTTTCTCTGAATTTCTCTAATTTAAATTTAGAGAAATTTCAGTTTTCTCTGGATAATTTTTTCTGCCCTGTTTGATTTTCTCTGTGTTGTTCAATTTTCTTTGGATTTCTCTAGTTTGAATTCAGAGAAATTTCAATTTTTTCTGGTTTGAACTCAAAGAAATTCTTTGAGAAGTCTAAAATTTCTCTAGATTGAAATTTCTCTGAATCAATTTTGAGAGATTTTAGACATTATGAAAAAATTAAATGTATTTTATATTATAAAATCTTAATATCAGGGATCTTAAAGAAAAAAAAATCCCCTTATTTTATCACACCTACTTTTATACAATAGTATTTTTTAACAGGTTCTAAAACATAATTTATCAAAAAGACTTAGAGTCCCTCCAATCTACGATCTAGATTGGAGGGTATTGTCTAGTCAGGTTTTAATAATTTGAATTGTTCTTTTTATTGAATTTTTTGTGTTTATTATATATATAAAAAAATTAGATCGATTTAATAATTGTAATTTATTAAATTTGTCACATTTATCTTTAAAAAAATGAATGACAAGTGTATTTTTAAAAATAATTCATCTATTTTTTAGTAATAAATACCATAAATTAAATAAGTTATAAATATCGAATTGACTTAATTTTTTTTAAAAATAATATATACAAACAATCCAACAAAATAAACTATTCAGATAATTAAAATAGAATTGTAATAATTTCCACTAACCCAAACAATATAGACCAGGGGAAATCCAACTCTTCAACAAAATATATTTATCTTTATTGAATGAGCCTTACTCAAAGTGGGAGCATACTTTAATTCTGAAACATTTGGATTTTGAATTTGGGAATAAAAAGAAAAAATTGACAACCCTGACTGCATACACATTTATTTTTTGTGTAAATAAAAAAAATATTTATTTTCATTTCATTTTTTCTGATTCAACCAAAAAAGCGAAAAATAAAAGTTTATTTATTTTTAGTTCATTTTCTTCTTGTTTCTTTTCATAAATTTAAAATCCAAATACAATTTGGAACCACTAGCTTACTAAATTAAAATTTGACAACCAAATTATACCAAATAATCATTAATTAAAACCTATCTCATTTGCATAATTTGGTAAAAAGTAATTGAGAAAATTTATAACTCATAATGTTAAAAATACTTTTTCACTAAGAAGGTGATATTCAAATGAAAATTTGAGACACGAGTTTCATAAACAAATGTAGAGTGATTATTGACAGAATTCAAAGAAAATTACTTTTACATTTGTGTTTAGATCTTTAATTTAAAAAGAATAGTGGACAAAAAATAAAATTTAAGTAAAGAAAAGCGAACAATGTTTTCCCCCATAAATCTAAGATCCAAACAAACCTAATTTGAAATCCCTTTTTCCACTGAGATTACAGATCTAATTTATTTATTTTATTAATATCTTCGTATAAAAACAAGTTTGATTTGGATAAACAATTAAGTTGAATTTATTTAAATATTACACTTCACTATTAATGGTTCAATTGTGCCATTAGAGCATGAACTCAAATAAAAAATGGATTGATAGCTGTTTCTTGATAACCTATTCGTTTGATTAATACTGATGTGGCTCGTCCTTCTCTTGCCGTGTGTCTGAATGTCATTGGCTCTTTATGCCATGTTGGACTCCAGCTGTCCTGCACCTCACCAGTTGGGTTATGCATTGGGCTCCAAGTGATGGGCTTGGATTGTCCATAGGTGATTCGTGACCTTTATGGGCTTATACATGTCAATGTTAATTTTTGATAATATTTTTTTTATTGTATTTTATTTATTTATTTTATTTTCTTAAAATAATATAGAGATTCGAGATGATTAGCTGTAAGAATTGAAGATAAATTTTTATTAGTGCCAACAGAGCCAACTCTTGCGGTTGAGGAGGGCATCACGTTATTCCTCACATGACCCAATGGTTTGGTTTCTTTAAAAAAAGAAAAAAAGAAAAAAAGAAAAAGAAAGAAGTTAAATGTGTAAATCGAATTTTTTTAATATATATAAATAAAAAAAATATGAAAGTCACACCACACCAAATGTAAATTTATATTTTAGAAGCTTTTTTTAAATATTTTTTTAGAGTACATTATATTTATGTTAATTAAATATATAATGAGAGTAGAAAAAAGTAACATCATAATTTTCGTTCAAATAAATACAAATTGATCAAATAATTATTGGTAATCGGTTAACATAATACTTAACAAATTGTACACATTAACAATTTAAATTATCAATATAAGCTTGAAATCGGACCCATCACTATCTAATAACACCATCTAATCTGATTTTAAATTGGAAAAAAGTTTTTCACTTACATTTTTATGTGTTTTAGAACATCTTACATTTTAATTAAAAAGCCCATGTTTATTCTCCCAATCAAAAAGAAAAAAATGCTGTTTTTATTTTATCTGTTTTAAGCTTATATTAAGAAATAGGTTAAGAATTATTTTTTTAATTTATAATAATTATTATTTTTAAATATATAAAAAATAAAAAAATAATGTGACGTAAAAAATATTAACAAATCAATAAACTGGCTTTTAAAGGTGAAGGAGACCTTACTCGACAAACGGAGCATGGGAATCTCGTCTAACATGCGCCATACGCGCAGAGCGCACCATCGACGGCTTCAACCCATGTGACTCGGGATACGTGGCAGAATTTCAGAGGGTATGCGCAATTCACAGCACTGTTGAGGTTAGGTATTCTCTTGCCATATCTGTCATCGTCGGTTTTTTTCTTTTTTCTTTTTTGGTAAATTACGAATGAATCCCTGATATTTACGTAAAATACTTGCTCCTTATAATTTAAAAAATTATAAATACTTTTTTATCAAAATTTTTTATTTAATAAAATTAATTAAAAAAATAAAATTTTTAACTCCTCTCTTATATAATAATAAAATTACTTGAATTATTAATTAGAATAAATTTTTAATATCATAAAAAATTATTAATTGATTTAATAATTTATTAATAAAATGAGTTATTTGTTATGAAATTAGAAATTTCTAAGAAATGAGATGTAATTTTTAGAATTACATGAGACAATTTGTATTTTAAACAAATTTTAAAGAGTATAATTTATCATTTCTTTTAATTTTCTTCTCAAATCACACCCACTATTAGTAAATCTTGGATAATCTTGGATAAGTATAAAAAAAAACTCCCATACTTATAACAAAATAAATTTTAAATTTTATTAATTTATTTTTAATCTAAATCATTAGTCTATTTTTATTGAGTAAAAATGACAAAAAAAAGATATTGTAATTTTTAAGAGCAATGATTTATAGGTTTAAATTTGGAGCTCTAACCATGGCCCTAATGATGTGGCATGGAGTACTAAAAAAAAAAAAAAGATACATATGTCAAATCATTCATGAGTGAGGCTCACTGTCACATAAATAAAGCACTGTGCTCTTGAATATTTTTTAATTTTTAAACTCAATATAAATGTATATAAAATATGAAAACAACAATGATTCATCCCACTAAAAACATCACCACTAATAGCACTAATGCATTAAAAAAGTAAAAAAAAAAAAAACACAACTTCAAGACCAAAACATCACATCATTAATGACGGGACCCACTGCCATCTAATTAGTGGGAGTACTAATTAGTGCTCCCAAGCATTTTTCATATGAAAAATAGTTAAGAGCATTAAAAGTGGTGCTCTAATAGCACCACTAATAATGTGGCAGTGAGCCCCACCCATTGCCAATGCGTTGTTTTTTTTTTTTTGTTGACATTTTCAATACATTAGTGCTATTAATAATTTTTTTTAGTAATATGAATCATTGTTGATAAAATATTTAAAATATATTTTTTGTTGAGTCTAATAATTAAAATATTATATTTTCAATTAATTTTACTTAACAAAAATAGATAAATAATTTAAATTTAAAATTTAAAATACTAATAAAATTAAAAATTTAAGATTTATTTTATGGCAACTGCCAAACTTTATTTATTTTTAATTACCCTTTAAACATCTTTGTAAATATTCATTTTTCATCAATTCCTTGCTTTTTTTTTTCTTTTTTTTTATACTATAAGAATAATGATATATCCCTATAATTTTAAAACTTTAATTAAATTCTAATAATATGGTAAAAAATAAAAAATTGAACCAAAATTATTCTCTCCCATTCAAACTCACTAGAGCTACTTTGGTTAGGTTTGGAGAGATAATTTGTGGTTATTTTAGTCACAAAAGATAAAATAAATTATTTTAGTTACAATAAATAAAATATCATATTTAATACATAATCATTACACTCTTCTCTTACAAAAAAAATTAAAAAAATATTTTCCAAATCAAATTTTTTAACTCAAATTAAAATAATAAAAAAAAATTTAAAAAATCAAAAAATTAACCCGCTTGCCAAACGAAGCAACCTCTCAATCATTTTTCTTTGCTATAATACGCAAGGGCTTTCTACCTCTTTAGCTCTTCGTCTTTTTTCTCGTCTCCCTGTACATATATATAGAGAGAAACTTTAGCTAAAGAGAGAGAGAAAAAGAGAGAGAAACAGAGAGCTTTAGAGAGAGAGAGAGCAGAAAAAGATATATAGAGAGAGAAAAAGAGTGAAACTTTAGAGAGAGAGAGAGAGAGAGAGAGAGCGGAGAGCTTTCTGTCTCAGTTTCATACATGACTGTAAACACTCTATAACCCAATATATATATGCAATTATATCTATATATATAGATGTCTTGTTGAGCTTACTTTAGCTTCTTTCATGGCAGATCTCTCTCCTTTCACCTATAGGTATAAATTCATACATGTACATATCTATATATATATATATATTTTTGGTTTCACATAGAAAAATAAACCCATTACAGCAGATTGGAGTTTGATTTGGTAAAAAAAAGTTTTTTGAGCTCTAATGGCAAATCTGTGTTTAAACTTTGTCTATGTTTGAATGTAGATTTTGAGTTGATATGGATCCGAAGAGGATGAAGGACTCGTCCGAGTCGACTCGTTTTTCGCCATTTCCAGACGAAGTTCTCGAAGGAGTTCTCTCTCTTTTGAAGTCCCACAAAGATCGAAGCTCAGTCTCTCTCGTCTGCAGAGACTGGTACAACGCCGAGCGATGGACTCGAACCCACGTATTCATCGGCAACTGTTACTCTGTCTCTCCTGAGATCGTCGCTCGTAGATTCCCCAAGATTCGAAGCGTAACCCTAAAAGGGAAACCTAGGTTTTCGGATTTCAATCTGGTTCCTGAGAATTGGGGAGCTGATATTCATCAATGGCTCGTTGTTTTCGCTGATTCGTACCCGTTTTTGGAGGAATTGAGGTTGAAGAGGATGACTGTGACCGATGAGAGCTTGGAGTTCTTGGCGACTAGGTTCCCTAATTTCAAAGCTCTTTCTCTTTTGAGCTGTGATGGGTTTAGCACTACTGGCCTCTCAGCTATTGCCACTCGTTGCAAGTAAGCAATTCCTGTTTATTTTTTTCATTTTTTATATCTTGAATGAATTAATTAATGTTGATTTTGGATTATGAAAAAAATTCAGTTTTTTTAACATGGGTTTGTTTGGATTTTGAGATCTGAAAATATTATGAGGAGAAGAAATTGCATATATGATAAAGTTGGATGTAGGTGAGAAATAGAAATGAATGAATTATGTTTTGGGATAAGGTAGAGAGATATATGGGTTTTGTTTTCTTGTTTTTACTGTAAAAAAGCAGAAGCTTTAGTGGAAATTGATGAAGTGCTTCTTCTTTATGTTTTTTCTTTATTTTTTCTGACTTTTTTTCTGTTGCTTTCTTGATGTGACTTTTGACCTGTTAATTTTAATGGATGCCTCTGTTTTTGATATCATACTTTGCACAAATATCCCCATTTTCAACGGGTAAGAAACACCAAATCATAAAATTCTTTCCCATACAGAGTAATTTGGGAGAACTACCCATTTGTTCCTTTCCTTGAGAGGCCTATGATATTTTTTCATGTAGTGGAATCTTGTAGTGGTTTTGTTTATAGTTGCCAAAGAATTCATCTTAGTTGTGAAAATTCTAAAAATAACCATTGTTTTGGGTTAGCAAATCTTGAAAACTAGCATTGTTCATGAACAGATGAGATTGGCTGGATTGCAATATTTTACACTTTTTCTTTTGTCATGTACATCTTAAAATCCCAGATTCTTTCCGCAAAGGTATTCCCGGGATGTTTTGGCCTATTGCTTCTTTTTTTGCCCTAATAAAGTATAGAAGGAAGACAACTGCATGGTTGATTATCCGAATAAATATATTAGGTTACATAATAAATCTTATGAGTGTATAGTTTAAGGAATGTCTCAGATTTGTCGCCTATTTCTCACTAGAATTAATGTCATGAATTGTTAATCACCTTTTGGTCAATTGTTCAGAAACCTCAGTGGCCTTCTTATGGCCATTAATACTTCATATTCGTTGTTCCAAAAAAAAAAAGAAAAGAAAAAAAAAAGGCACTTTATTTACTTTTTTCCTCTTTACATATTTTTTAAAAATAAATTTTTTTTGATATGGTACACCATGGTTGACAGCTTGAGAATCATCTGGATGGAACCCAATGCGGTTTTATTTTTATTTGGTTCACAAAAGCTGGCCATTAATTGAGATTCTAAGAATCCAGCAGTCTTTGCTATTGTTGACTTTCCTGAATTCATCCCTCAGGTAATATAATGGTATGGTGCAACTTGTGTGATTCTCAAGCACAAACTCACTTGATCATTGACAAGCATATGCTATTTCCGCCTATGCTTCCTGATTTTTTTACACGAAATATTTTCATCCAAATGTTTTGACAATTTACAGGCTGCTTGTGGTCTACGTGATGTGCAGGTAGCAACCAAGGCCTTTGGTTTGACCGTTCTTGTTTAATTAATCTTCTGAATCATTTTTTCACTTGACCAATCATAAGTTCTCTGTCACTGAATCTGAACATCCAATAGGTCAAAATAAATAGAAGTTTCATATAACCTATACAAAATATTCAGCGAATTTGTTGTGTTTGTCTTATAGATCCTAGTAACCAATCATGTGTCTTTAGATTCTTATTTTGGTGATTCAGTAGTGGCTAGTTTTGCACTCATTGTTGCCATGACACGTCTAAGAAGGTAAGGTAACGTGCGTGTCCGCAATGACACTTGTAGGACACTTCCCTATACTTGACACACGTGGAACACATTATCAGTTTGAATAAAATAATTTGGAATTCAATAATAAAATAGAAACAATGTAAATTTATATTTGTTCTCCTTATTTAGACTTCAAAAACTATTATAGTTGATTTAAATATTCATATATATATATGATATATAATCATAGTTGTCAAGTCAGGATTTGAATCGTGAATCGAAATGATCTTGTATTGAATTGCGAATCGAATTGAATCATGAATTGTAAAGATTCGGTTACTTTTTCTAAATTACAAAGAAAAATATATCTAGACACTTTGATATTAAATATATTTAATAAATATGAAATATTTGGACTTTAAATCAACGAAAATATTGTCTTGAATAATGATCATGTGGTTTAATATGTAAAAAGTTAACACGGGTTCCCATATTCACCACTTTACCTTTTCCCTTTTAGATGCTATTTCTTATCAATCATTCTTAAAGACAAACTCTCAATTCCAACAATAACACAACAACAATGTTTTTGACTTTTACAACGTTAAGAAACCGAAATCTCCAAACCTTTTCAAAATCTCACTGATACCTTAAAAAAATTCATTTGGTAAATGCAAGCGCTTAGATAAAATTGAATATGTAAGCTTAAAATATTGTAGAGAGAGAGTTTAATTTTTTTTCTTTTTCTTCTAAGGTTTTATTATTTGAGAGTAAATAGGGAGGGAGAAAGTCAAAAGATGGCATATAGTAATCCTAAATACCTTAAAAAGGTAGTGTGAATCCTTTTCCACAAAAAAAAAAAGAAAGAAAAAAAAAAGAGCCAAACATCAATCAAATCAATTCACAAGTCACCGATTCGGTTCAACGATTCACAACTATTTGCGATTCACACAACCTGTTCGTATCAATTATCCATTGAATCGAATCGAATCGAATCGAATCGTGAATCGTATGATTCTAATAACAGGGCATATAATAACTATTTATCCTTATGTATGACATAGTAAATATTTAAAATTATATATTTTGTACTTGTTTTTCATATGTCATGTCTTACATTTTTTGAAAATTTTCATGTTAGTGCGGTCCATGTTCATGCTTCTTAGGTTGCCATACTGTAGGTTTGTTTCATGAGACTTTGCTCTTAGAAGAAAGGTGTCTAAATTCCAATTTGGCTTGCAGGAACTTGACTGAACTTGACATACAGGAGAATGGCATGGAGGATAATGGTGGAGGTTGGTTAAGTTGCTTTCCTGAAAGCTTCACATCATTAGAAGTACTGAACTTCTCCAGCCTGCACAGTGATGTCAGTTTTGATGCCCTTGAGAGACTTGTTGCTAGGTGCAAGTCATTAAGTGTTTTGAAGGTCAATAAGAATGTCAACTTGAAACAATTACAGAGGCTACTTGTACGGGCTCCTCAGTTGATGGAGCTTGGTACTGGAAACTTTCAACAAGAACTTGCACCGCGCCAGTATGTAGAGCTTGAAAGTGCATTCAGCAACTGCAAAAATCTGCACACCCTATCAGGTTTATGGGAAGCTACAGCCCTTTATCTTCCTGTTCTTTACCCAGCTTGTGCGAGTCTGGCATTCTTGAATTTGAGTTATTCAACTCTTCGAAGTGGTGAACTTGCCAAGCTTCTTGCTTACTGCCCAAATCTAAGACGTCTCTGGGTAATGAGCTTCTACTTCCCACCTATTTCTTGCAATTCCTTTCACGAAAGACTATTCTTTAAATTTTGGGTTAGTGCATCATGGGATATTGTAAAGATCATGAGGCAGAAATGGGAGTTGTAGACCCTTTATTCATTGTCTTACCAAACAAATATCGACATTTCCATAGTTGTTTCAATAATGCTAGGTGTCATGAAAGAAATATCATGAAAAAGCTTCATGAAGATTTTCTACTCTTGGATTAGTTTGTAATGTTTTATTGTATGTTATGCAATCACCCTTAGATTAGTTTTATGAAACTTTTCATTATATTTATTTTATGATGCGTAGCATTACTCTAGTTGTTTTTGTCATCAGTTTCCTTGGTGATCTTCCATTTGGTGGTTTTGGCCATATCATGTCTTCATGGCAGAGTATTTTTCTTTCATGCTTTAACCTTGTGGAGTCTTTTTACATTGATACTACAGTTAATGGTGAGTCTATCCTTAACAATGTAGTGAAATATTCCATACAACTGTGGTAGCATTGTGTTTCAGGTTCTGCATTGCTGGGGTAGAGCCTTTGCCTTTATGTTGGACAGTGAAAACCAGATGCATCCTGTACATAGGAGATTGTATTCTGCCATCTTATTATCCAAATATGATATTATACATATAATGATAATGATAGTGTTAAATGCAAATATATAAGAAGTGTCCGATGTACATATCAGACCCATACCCTTGTCCAAGTGTCGAGTGTGTGACAGGATATTTGATTTATTTTGAAGAGTCTATTTAACATAGCCAGCTACCACATCCGGTTACCACCACCTCCAGCCACCATCGCCTGTTGCCTCCTTCGGCAATCACCTTCGGTCACCACCTTTAGTGCCACCAACCACATCCGACCATCGTCAACTACCTTCAGCCACCACCTTTTATTAGCAACCACCTTCAGTCACAACTCCGTTCACTACCTCCAGGGGTCACCATCACCAACCGTCAACAACCAACTTCAATCACAACCTCATATTGGGTCTCTTATTTTCAAAACAAAATTCTTAAAAACATGCGTGCACCAAACATGTTTTTTACTTTTATTTATATATACAAAAAAAATAAATAAATAAACGTGTTTAATATTTTTTATAAACAAAAAGCAAAAAACTGTAAACGTCAGCAAACGCCACCAAAATGTGCCGATCTAATATATTCCAAGCAAGATTAAATGAGGATTTTGTGTCCTCTGCAAAATTATGATGTTCGGTGGTTCTAATAGTGAAACTCATTTTTGCTACAGGTTCTGGACACAGTAGAAGACAAGGGGCTGGAAGCTGTTGGGTCCAGCTGCCCCTTGCTTGAGGAACTCCGTGTCTTCCCTGCAAATCCCTATGACGAGGACATGCACCATGGTGTGACTGAGTCGGGTTTTATTGCCGTGTCTCATGGTTGTCGCAAACTCCACTATGTCCTCTACTTTTGCCAGCAGATGACTAATGCTGCCGTGGTCACCATAGTTCAGAACTGCCCAGATTTCACCCACTTCCGACTCTGTATAATGAACCCACACCAGCCAGATTACCTCACCAACGAACCTATGGACGAGGCTTTTGGTGCAGTGGTAAAGACTTGTACTAAGCTTCAGAGGCTTGCTGTTTCAGGCCTCTTAACTGACTTGACATTTGAGTATATTGGGAAGTATGCGAAAAACCTAGAGACCCTTTCGGTGGCTTTTGCTGGCAACAGTGATTGGGGGATGCAAAGTGTTCTACGAGGTTGTCCGAAGCTCAGGAAGCTTGAGATAAGAGACAGTCCATTTGGGAATGGAGCTCTTCTTTCGGGTTTGAAGAAGTATGAATCAATGCGGTCTCTCTGGATGTCAGCGTGCAAGGTGACTATGAATGGGTGTAGATTACTGGCAAATGAGATGCCGAGGTTAAATGTTGAGGTAATGAAAGATGATGAGAGTGATGACAGCCAGGCTGATAAAGTTTATGTCTACCGTTCTGTAGCAGGGCCAAGAAGGGATGCTCCACCTTTTGTTCTCACTCTCTAAAGTTTCATATCTTGGTGAGTTCTTTCTTGGTCTTGGTCTCAGTCTCTGTCTCTGTCTCTGTCTGTGTCTGTCTCTCTCTCTCAAACACATGCACATATGGGTGTGATTGCGACTTGTGCATATAAATCCAGCAATTGATTAGAGAAAACGTGGCATAAGTTAGTAGGTGTGTCTTTAAGAACATTGACTTGTCTCACGTAATGGGTGAATTTTTCTTTTTGAGGCAACTTCTTGCATTGATATGCCCTGTGCAAACTCTTGTGTATGCAGGTAGCACACTTGCCATTGTTGAACCCATTTATGGCTCCAAATTCATGTGCAATATAGGTCACGTTTTATCTTGTTACGTGGGCAGTGTGCATATATGATAGAAATATCACTGTGTTACTTAGTACTCTGCGGCACATATGCAATAATTGTTTAGCTATCATTCTGTTCATCTAATTCTATGAGCTTGTTAATTTGCATATACAGATGCAGAGACTCACATTCTGCTGTGGTGTAATAGACCCTACTCCTTAATTGGTGTAGTGTAATTCGTAATGATCTGCTTTTGTTTTCCCCAAAATAGTATTTGAGATTCGAGATTCCTTTTTCTTAAATCCCTATGTTAACTTTCCATATCTTCCTGATAATCTGAGATGTGCTTGCTTGCTGTTGTCATGTTTGATTGTACTTTCAGACATTGTATCAAATGGTTTTATGGTTTTGCTGATTAAAAAACAAAAAAAAAATGGTATTATGGTTTTAGAATTTCGGCTTGCCTGCAATCTACTTAGAGGACCTCAAAATTTGTGTGGTTCTCAGCCTCTCAGGCTTTCTATGCCATTGTCTATTATTGTTACCCCGGTATACAATTACATAATACTTGCATATGTTTGGCCTTTGCAGATTATGTAGTCGACAGTGGACCCACCCCATTTAGATTTGGGTTGTGATTCGAACAATTGAACAGAAATTAAAGGTGGGGGAAAAAAAAAGTGTCTGTGAAACTGAAACTTGTCTTTCAACTGCTGCTTGCTCTTCTTTACATGCTGATCCAAGGGAAATAAATAAGGAAGCAAGAGAGATGAAAGAAAGAAAGCTTATACCTTTGCAGTCTCCGGGCTGAGACAAGTTTGCGCCTTGGCTGCTGGATTAACTGCATTCCTGAAAAGCAAAACCTAAACCTGCAATTTCCAAAGCAGGCAGTTAAGATCTTGCATGAAATACTTGCCCATGTGAAGCCGAGGTGAATTCCAATTTGAAGTTGTACACACAAGTCAAAGAGTAGCTCAAATTATTTCATGATGTGGACTTGAATAAGTGGCGTCTCTGATGATGGAAGGCATCAAGAACCTTTGTTGGCGAGGGAGGTCCTTTTGGTTGCATTATTTGAAGATGTCACATGTCAATGATCGCTTTGTGTTCTGCCATTGTGAAAAGGAGTGAACAAGATTAAAGAGGAAAAAGCAGTTTCAAGTTGAAATGGTTGTTCAAGATACGAATGGCGATGAACTGGAGGGATAAGATCATGGTCAAGTGGTGCGGTTGAAGAATTTCCAGGGGAGCGTCAACATCAGAAACAAATGATTTATTTGCAAGTATGATGGGTCTCCAGATCGAAGCGTGATCAGTGGTGTTCTTCGATCAGTGGTGTTCCTAGAGTTCATCAAGATGAAGCTGGGATAACAGATAAAAGACTACATTATCTTCAAAATATGTGGAATGTTGTTTATCATTTGTATGACTATTTATCATTCAATCTGTTTTGTGGTGGCTGTTTTTGGGCAGTTGATTGGTTATATGTTCTGTTTTCATACACGAATGCATTATCAGGAATTTAAGTTTTTCCTCTGGGTTTCTATGGCTGAAAATACTTAACATGCTTTGGTATTTGCTTGTTTGATCTGGCTTTTTGTCTTGCAATAGCTACTTCAATGCTCGCATAGAATATTGAAGTTGTTAATTCACTTTTATCCATCTCCTGAGTAAATACCTACATGATATCTCTGAGTTTTTGAGATGAAGTGTGATCAAACAATTATGAATGAATTGAGACACTTGAACGGCGAGTTTATGAGAGTATCCTCAATCCAAATTATGGGTTTGTATATATTTTAACTTAATAAAGTGAATCTTATTACTCGCAATTATATCATTAAAATAAAAATTAAATTGTGAATTAAATTCATTGTTGGTGGACATATCTTTTTAGGAACAAATAATTTCATACTCTAAATTATTAATTGAGTCACAATGGAGGTAAGAGGGTTGCTTTCGGCAATAAAATATGAATACATGTATATACAAAGGTAAGCAGAAGAAAAAGAAGATTGACATAAGCATTGCACCAACTAAAAAAGATATAAAATTATCAAGTTGAATGATTTTAGGGTTGTCCACGTCCAATTCATTTGACCCATATAACAATTTGCAATTCAAGGACCCATTCAAAAGGCAAGGGCCCAATGAGGAGACTAGATGAATAGCAGAGTCTTTTTGGAGTCGTCATTATTATCAGTCCATCACATCAATTGGTCAAGGCTTGTGTTAACTACTATGTTTAATTTATGTAGCACCATCTAGGTTTGCATTGTATTCAAAGTTTTAAACTAACATATATAAGGGGTACTTTTTATGTTGCTTGACATTTCTCATTATGTAATCAAAGTGGTAACTACCTATCCTATGTATGTAGCTTCTATGTTAATAAAATATTAAACAACATTGTTATTCAAGATTAAAAATTAGATTCAATTTTCAAGTTGAGTAATGTGGCAATTAATTAGAATATTAAAAATAACTGTCTCTTATTTGTCTCTAATCATCAACTAATCATATGACTTACACACCATTATATCTATAAAATGTGTATAAAAAGTAAACTTACATATCATTTTTCAATATTAAAAGGTGAGTTGGTGGGTAGATGCTTGAATTTTCTAGATTAAATCCTTTGCTTGGCATGAAATTTATACATGGTGATATATAACTTGGTAATATAATTGATATCTCACAAGTAGTCAAATACCATGCTATCCATGGATTTTTTAAAAGAGGTCTGATGGTTTTTATAATTAGATTTATTTTATTTTATTCTTTTTAATGAGTTAGTTACTCTAATAGTTATTTTAACAAAACTCTTTTAGGTTATATATATTTGGAGCACCTTAAGAGATTATACACATTTGGAGAGCCTTAATAGATTCTTTAAATAGATAGGTAAAATAAAGAATAGTAATAGAGAAGAGGCACAAAAAAATAGTTAGATAAAATAGAAGGAAAATTTGTAATTTTTTTGTGTGTGTGTGTGTGTATAGCATTAGATCCAATGGCTGTTTTGTTTTGGTGATAAAGATATTCTTAATGAAATTGTTTGATAATAAGGATAAATTATTATTTTAAAGAAATATATATATATATATATATATGTTTTTTTTTCATTTTTATTCCATTGCCGCCAGACTATTGGCCCATTACTGTTAGCCGATTGTCAAAAAATTCACGGAAAAGGTTTGGCAAAACACGAACTTCATATCCAACCATTTATGTTTGGTAACGTTTATACTTATTATTGATGTTTTTTTTTTTTTTTCAAAAAATTTGAAATGGGTAAATAAAATTATGTTTCACAATTGTTTTGTTTTCAAACAATGTAAATAATTTTCAAAATTAGGTAAATTACAAGCACACCCCTTGAGATTTGCTTAAAATAAGAATTGTTTCTTGTGATTTTGGAAATTATAAATACCTTCTTGTCAAAAAATTTTATTTAATAGAATTAACGAAAAAAAAAAAAAATTCTAACTACTCTCCTATGCAATAGTAAAATTACTAAAAATGATAATTGAAATATATTTCAAACACAATTAAAAACTGTTAATTGAATTAATGATTTATGAATAAAATGAGTAATTTGTGTGGGTGTTGATTTCTGACCACACTACCAAATTAGTAATTCAACTGGAGAGCACTGGCAGAATAGATGACACCTGATGACCTGCAACAGAAAAGAAGAGATTCCGACGTTGGTTCGTCCACCCGAGGGTACTCCGACGATCAAGTCAGTTATCTCTCAAAGATAGCAAAAGTGCTTAAGTCACTATTTAGAACATAAAAAGCATACCTTAGACTCATGAGGGTGCCTCGCTTTTATAACCAATACAATTCTAGTCCCAATAAAAGCCTAGCTCTAATGGACTTAGGATTACTGCTAATCTTGGACTCCCAGTAGGATTAGGATAAACTCTCTAAGAGTCTTATGTTTACCCAAACTGAAGTCTTCTCTGATTCTAGGGCTCTTGTCCCTTATCCGCTTATCCCGAATTTCGGTATTCTCGCAGATAACCTCGGCCTAGCCGAGATTACCTCTGCATCATGACCAGGACACGTGGCACGTCGGCTGGCACTTCGGTGACACCTCAGCCACGTGTTGTCATTCAAAATTTATGTCCCCACAACTATCCCCTAGGTTCTATCACCTCGGCATCCTGAGGTGATGGAACCTATATCATTTATTCCATCTTGCACGTCGGTTAATCTCGTTTAAACATTTTATTGTCGAAGTCTGAACTTGTCGGCTCAATATGTCCAAGACCTATAGCCTGCTTTCACCAATGCCTCAGAACCATTAACCAAGTTCGTTCAAGCTTCTCAGCCGAGATCATTCTCCAAGACGAGGTACTGCTCCATTAAATCAAGAATTCCAAGAGCTCCTTCACGCGTATGAGCTGTCACGCATAACAACTCAACCGTTCTTGCCACACGTCCTTCTCTTTCTGGGCTGTAGCTGTTACGCGCCACTAAGTCGCGTTGCTTTTTGCGTGCGTCGTCTGACACGTATGCCATCTTAAGCGCATTAATTGCCTTTATGTGCCATTTCGAGTTTTTACAAAACTTTTCCCCTTCTCTTCGTCGCTTCACTTTTGCCCCTTTATTCTCTCACAAACTTTTCCTCTTTCCTCTCCCAAATCCGCTATTGCTTCATACTCTTTAAGATCTGTTACCACCGCTGTTCATCTCCTCCGGCGTGACTTTCACCGCTCCGTCACTTTTGCAACCGTCGTCTGACTTCGGCGATCCTCACACCGGCCTCACTTTCTCCGGTAAGCCACTGTTCCTCCTGGTTTTTAATCCTTGATTCACTTCGAACTCTGTTGTATTTGCGAACTTGTTTATGTCTTTGAACGTTTAATCTGTACCTCGATTTTCACTATGTGTTTGAGCATGTTTGCTTTGTGATTCCGTTTTTGCCCAATCCTTTCTTGAATACTCACACTGCTTACATATCTGTTGATTTTTGCCACTGTCTTTGGCCTCACACTCCTGCACAAACTATACCACTGTGTTCTTGATGATTCATCACTGTTCTTGATTCTGAATCACATTTCTGTTTTTATTTTTTGTGATTTTTCCAGATTCTTGCCTTCAATCCTTGTTTGCCCAGTCCTAGGTCTAGGATTTGTTGTAGAACTCACGAATCTTAGGGTAAACTGAACCGAATTCCCCTTTGATCCACGAACATCCTTAACCCCGCATATATTTAGGTTTTGTTCGAGGTCCCTCAGACCCTTACAAAAACACTTCCTTTTGAAATCCAACTCCTCCAATTAAGCCGACGTCATGGGTATATGGAAGCATAGGGTAATCACCCCAACTAAGTTAGCGTATTTTAGGCAAGAGTTTTCTATCCCTATTGACGCCCACCTCAGGTTGGCAGGGGAGGAGGACTCTATTATGCCCGATGTGGACCTCATGTCTTTCCCAGTAGTAGCTTTCATCGAGTGTGGACTTAGGTTTTCACTTGGCACCCTTTTTCGAGAAGTCCTCCACTACTACAAATTGAACCCAATGCAATTTGCCATCAACTCTTACCGAGTTAACAATGGTATAATCGCCCTAGCCAAGAAAGAAAATGCTAGGGTTACCCTTGCCGATATCCAGTACTGCTACACCATGTGTTGCCTGAAATCGAAAAAAGGCCATATCTATTACCTTAAGCCGAGATCCACTGAGTACAAGCTCATTGCCGACTTTCCAGACTCAAACAAGGGTGCTGGAGACGATTACTTCATCGTCTCGGGCAACTGGGAGTTTCAACCAAATGATGACCTCCACCTTTATCCCCTAAGCCGAACAGTTTTCAGGGAGGGAGATGGTAAGAGCCAAGTGTCACTTTTCCTTGCTCTTTTTTTTAAAGTTTTCAATACTTTGTTCTAATGTATGTGCTCTTCTTTTTGCAGCTCTTCCACAACCACCAAAGGGCTTTCGCAAGTCCTTATTTCCCATCAAGGACTTGAAGAAGCTACTGGATCTGCCAGTTCACAAGCGGAGAGCCCCTTTGCTACTCAACTTCATTCTCACTTACAAGTCGGTTCTTTTTGACGTTCCAAAGAAGAAGAAGAGTCAGTCTCCTCTGTCCGCCACTACTCCTCCCACAACTACTTCATCATCTTGGCTAGATCATGGGTCAACCTTTGATCCAGCAGAGTAGCCATCTACCTCGGCTCCACAACTAATCCCACCATCTCAACGCCGTCGACGACGTCGAACTGTTTTCGCTGCTAAGATAGGCCGCAAGAAGGCACTCACTAAAGATCTCTTGGCCGATATCCCATTCATCGTCGATGCCCAACCAGCACCATCTCAGCCTCAACCAAAGCCGAAACAAAAAAGGCTGAAGAAGGCTCAGCCAAAGGCAACGGCGACTCAGATTGACACTAAGGACACCTTGCCAATTTCAAAATTGGTTGAGAGTGAAAAGACACCTTCTGTCGCTGAGAAAAGGCCCGCCGAGGCCGAACCAGCCCAATCAACTAGGCCAAAAAGGCCGAGGTCTGAATCGGCCACAACCTCGGGGCCAATGAAATTAGATGCCCCCGGGGCCCCCCGAT